TTTTTTTTTTTTTTTTAGAAATTTTTGTTTTTTTCATATGCATATATTTGTGCTTTATATATTAATTTTAATTTTTTTTTTTTAGAATTGCCGTTGAATTTGACGCCGGAATTGTCGTTGGGGATGCCTTTGAAATCGCGGTTTAGATGAAATTTTGAAGGTTTAATTGTTGGGTTGCAATAATTGTCGTTGATTCACTTTTGCTTTTTTTATGTTATATTGATGTAATGTTTTTTTAAATAAAATTTTAAAAGAAAAATCTTAGAAAAAATTTTGCGCTTCCGATTTTGCAGTCTGATTGGTCTATCGTAAAATCGTGATTTTTAATTTCTGTATTTTGATTGTTCGATTACTTAAACTACACCCTGCCGATGCATTAAACCTGCAAATTATCTACTTTTATGGCCCAGCGCCCGGCCCGGTTTTACTGCTGTTTTCATAAATTTTGGAAAGTCTGGCCAAAATTGACCGACCGAATATTTGTCGGCATATTACATAAATTCTGGGACATCTTTTAAAATTTGCCGAATGGTTTTTCGGCTGATTCAACTAAGTTTTAATTTCGGCATAATTGATTAAAATTGATATACATAACGATAATTTAAGATCCGGTATTGATATAATTATTATAAGATAGCTGCGCAACGCAATTATAAAACATTGTGTTCCAGGCTCTTTCAAAGTTACGTTTTTGATACCTGTTACATAATTCAATATGGATTTTCTACTATAATATATACATGCGCATATATACATACTACAACCCGATATTTAAATATAAGAATTGTGTTAATATATACCACTGAGAAATGGCCAAAAAATTCGAGTATATAAATTAAGGTGGCTTGAATATGTCTTTTAACATATGATCCCGTTTATAATGTAATATTGATATGACAGATAACATTTGCCACGTCCATGTGTTACATTCTACCAATAATAATCTTATATTATGTGCTAAATCGCGGGATGTCTCCTTAAAAGTTATGTTTTTGATATCTGTTACACTTAAATCAAGTAAACTGTAATTTTCTGGGATCTTCGCTAGTAAAATGACCCTTCGAAGCATTGTTACACAAGATTTGTATTAAGAAAACATAGTAAATCTATGTTTAGAAAAAAAACATATCAAAGACCTCATACCGTATTCCTCTGAAAATAAGCACCCCTTTTTTGCTATAAGGTTGCTTATTTTCGGGTATAATCTCATCTAATAATTTGAATGACTTGATATTTTGTTGCTTATTTCTATTATATAAGAGGTGCTTATTTTCGGGTATATATGAATTGTAGGGGGTGCTTATTTTCGGAGGTGCTTATTTTCGGAGGAATATGGTATATATTTTTTGTTATACCAGTCTTGTAGTTAGTTACTTTGTAAAAAAAAACCTATTACAAACCTAATAAAATAGTATCAAAAGGCAAAACTTGTCAAAAAAAAAGAACTTCTAATGGTAAGCAATAAAAATTATATTACAGTATATACAAATTTATAATAGTATTCTTGTAAAAACTCTAAAAACCAATTTCGAAAAAAAAAATTAATATGTATACATAATTGGCTAATCACTAATCTATTCATTTATAAACTATACGTATACCCTAAAATTTGAAAAAGTTTAACTACTGATAGTGAGTCCCAAATCTAACGTCTAACCCATTCAACCCATCTTCGCCGTAATGTAACTTTTAACGATAGAACTAGACATAAAATTACTACCGAACAGCGCTGCATATAGTACCCTTTGGAGAAGTATCCCCTTTAAATAATATCGTGGTATTATTCAATTGTAGATTTTAACATTTTTGAAAAGTATCCTGGACAAATCAAGCAGCAATTTATTATGTTCATGATCCAACCAATGACCATGTTATACGATAAACTCACCTCGTTTTAGTATACCCCCTTGTATAGTATCCCCCCTCTTTACAAAGTACCCCGGGGTATTATTTAATTAACCTTAGATTTCTTGTAAAAGACCGGGAGTATTATATGCAGCACTGTACGGTAGTTTTTGTGCATTACATCATGTTATTACGTACAAAAATGTTTAGCCTCCTTACAGAGCTAATTTTCGTCCTGGCTAACCCGTAACTTGGCCTTATTCCCATTATCATTATGAAATATGGACTACAATTCAACCTACATAGAACACGATTACTCTCAACACGACTTAAGAGATAGTGAAAATGCCGTTTTTCGTCATTCATATTTGTCTGATTATACCGATACGTACTGTAATTAAACTAGTACGTACAAACGAACGTTCATGTGCATTATAACGGTAAGATCAGATTATTGAAATAATGCATATGTCCGTTATTTCAAGGATAATCCCACTTAGGAAAATCACAATATAAATATACACTATAATGATAGGAAAAAAAATCAAAATAAAAATATCTAAAAGATAAAATTATCTGATAGATAAATCATAAAATCATAAATCGAAATATTATCGTTATGCACCAGTATATAGTTACGTACCATTTACGTCAAATTAAAACTGTGACCAGGTTACACCATCGCTATACATAAACTTAAAATTTGTACATAGCGATAGCGAGTGTTGAAATCGATTTGATAGATTGCTTTTTACAGATTTTTTTGAAATCCAAATGGCAATTGAAGGGTTCAAATCTTCTGCTGTATTTGACGAGATAAAAACTAGTATCTCTGATGAAAAACTCAAAGCAGAGACTGTTAACAAGGTTTATAAAAATGACAATTTTATATTATAATATTTAATTTTTAAGTACTTAAAGCAAAAATATTATTTTAGGTAAAATCCACCTTTCAATTCAATATAAAAAATTCAGAAGGAAAGGTGCAGATTTGGACCTTGGATTTGAAAAAAGAAGGTTCTATTCAAGAGGGAAAAGGTTCTGGTAAAGTCGATATCACTATGGATATGGATGATGAAACCTTTGTACAAATAGCTTCAGGAAAATTAAATGGTATGGTAAAATTAATAATTTTCTAATTAACATTACTGGTGGAGAAATCATCTATATTAGAATAATAAGAATAATAAATGACGCACTTTATGGTCTAGTCAATACTCAGATTGCATAAATCTTAATTCATTTTATATTCCATATTTTATTTAGGCCAAAAGGCTTTCATGACGGGTAAACTCAAGATCAAGGGCAATATGATGTTAGCCACTAAATTAGACGGCGTATTAAAGACTTTAACAAAGCCCAAAGCCAAGTTGTAATTCAAAATTATTTACAACATATAATAATGCACAAAGAATATTATTCTCTATTTTAATTAGAAGTATGTTACAATCTCTTATATAAATAAAGTTATCTTTTGCCAAATCAAAAGAACAAGACAAAATAAAACTATCTATATATCTAATTATAATTTTATTGTAACGCTAGTAAATAAATGAATAAATAAATGTGCAGTCAGAATTTTACGATAGTTCCATAAACCATGCGTCTCTTCCAATCTCGTAATAGTCTTTTACTTTCTTCTTAATTTTAAACCCCATCTTTTGATATAGACTAATAGCATTCGACCTTTCCGTGTCTACATATAATTCTGCTCTACATTTTTGAGGTACATTCGTTTTCTTAATTGCATATTCTAACAACATTCTTCCCAAGCCGTTCCTTCTCAATGATGGATGTATGCACAATTTTAGTATTCTTGTTACCGGTGAAATAGATAATGAAATATGCGAATATATGAGATATCCCAAGATTTTTATAACTTTACATTTTTTGGAAATATCATTCTTAGGTTTAGATATTTCTTTTTTTTTTTCTTTATTAGATTTATTTTCGAAATTCTTCTTTTCATTTTCTGTGGATACATCATATGCTATTAGCAATGTATTAGTTTTTTTTGCTATTTCTTCCTTAATTGCCATAATCTCATTTTTAGGAAACACTTTACGCTCCATCATCTCTATTTGATGAATAATGGATTCTTGATATTTGATTAGTGATTTTGTAGGGAATATTGTTATTTGTAAATTTTCAGGAAGCATTATGGTTATCTGTAATCTATAATCGTAACAGGTAATGTACGTACGTACGTAGAAGTATTTTATTAGTCACGCGATAGCATATTAAATATATAAGTATCAGATATTTATATCACGGTATTTCTGTATTTTACGAATATTCTCACGAAGGCCTAAATATTCTCAATGTCATATGTACTTCGTTCTGCACGCGTTTCTACTCGTTTAAAGTCTGGAGAAGCAAAACCAATAACCATTAAAAAGCTCGCTGAAAAGGCTTCAGATCAGAGCGTAACGCAAGTGAGCAAAGAGGAAGCAAAAGACCAGGACCTTTCTACTGAAACTGTAATTGGACCTTTAAAGAAAGAAAGTGAAGTTATTTATGAGGTTGAAAATAAACGTGAAAACAATAAAACCAAAGATGCAAAGATTCAAATCCCCAAAAAGAATGCACGTAAAGAAAAACACGAAATCATTTACGCGCAAAGGTTTTCGGGCACAAAGAAATTGGTTGGTGCTCATGTTAGCGTTTCTGGAGGAATTCATAATGCTATAAAATATAGTTTAGCCCTTGGGTAGGCTTTCTTACGAATTGATGATCAAATCACAAATAATTTTTATTAATCCTTTTGATCTCTTAAAGCGCAAATGCATTTGCCCTTTTCCTACGAAATCAACGTAGATGGGATGCTCAACCTCTTAATCCTGAACATGTCTCGATGTTTCGTGAAGGTTGTGAAGAGAATATGTATCCACCTGGTTCTGTGCTACCTCATGGAAGTTATCTGATCAATCTGGGTAATCCTGATCAAGAAAAACGAGAAAAAAGTTATCAAGCTTTTCTTGAAGATTTGAAAAGATGTGAAATTTTGGGTCTCACTTTGTACAATTTTCAGTGAGTATATTAAATTTTGAAATTTACGCGTTTAGTATTCATATTATTATAATTTTTAGTTGAATAAATATATATATGTAAAGTCCAGGTTCAACAGTTGGACAATGCACGCCAGAAGAATCTATACAACATATTGCTAATTGTATTAATAGAGCCCATAAAGAGACGAAAAGTGTCATTTGTGTGGTTGAAAATATGGTAGACCAGTTTTATTAAGTTTTTATCTATTTTTATAATGCTAAAGTTAAATGATATGTACAATATCACAGGCTGGTGCCGGAAATACTATTGGATCAAAATTTGAAGAACTTGGTAAAATAATATCACTGGTCAAAAGTATGTATCAATGCAATATAATATCTAATTATCTTTTTTCTATAAACATTCTTGAATAACATCCTTTATCATTGTTTTTACGTTTTTTAAGATAAGAAACGTATTGGCGTGTGCATCGATACATGCCATGCATTTGCTGCGGTAAATCTTGCTTATCACAAATGTTTACAAATATTCTCACAAATATTCTCACAAATATTCTCGCAAATGTTCTCACAAATGTTTATTAGGGTTATGATCTTCGTACAAAGGAAAGATATGAAGAAACTATGTATGAATTTTCTCGCCATGTAGGCTTCCAATACTTACGAGGAGTGCACTTGAATGATTCTCTCAAAGACTTAGGTTCTCGTACCGATCGGCATGCAAACATTGGTAAAGGTACTGAATTTTTAAAAATTATCGAATTATCTTCACTATCCATCTCTATATATAAATTAATCAAAAATTTTAAAAAATTTAAAGGTTACTTGGGTTTGGAACCTTTTAGATTGATTATGAATGATAGTCGTATGGATGAAATACCTTTAATTCTAGAGACTCCTGTGCCTGATGATGACCTTGAAATTTACGAAAAGGAAATTGCTCTTTTATACAGTCTCGTTGGCAAACAGACATTGGCCGATGCAAATCTTCCAAAAAATTTTGTGAAAGGTCATGACATAATTGAAATTACAAATTCAAAATCATCGGAAAAAAAGAAAAAGGTCAAGAAAAATACCAAAGAGATTGATGAATCAAATGTGACTGTTCCACAAAAAAAAAAGGCTAAAACTAAACGTTCTTGATCAAATTCCCTGCATGATTATCTTAAATCAAGATCTCTAATTCTGCATGTACTGTGTAAACATTACATAAAAGATCTATATCTTAAATTACTTTATCGCAATTGTCTAAATTGATCTAAATTTATATTTGTAAATTACTTCATTATTATCTATATATTATAAATTACCATAATATAATTTACCGTTATCAATCTCTCTTATATATTATGTATAAAATTATCCCATTTTCTCTCATCTTTCGTTTTTTTATCATTAAAAAACTTGTTTAATAATGATAATATCAAAAGTTGGTAAATCTATACTTTCAAAATCAGTTTTGTTTAATGCAAGACGTTTGGGTTGTTTGCCTTCTTTACAACTACGAAAGAAATCTCTTACAAAATCTACAAAACCACAAAGTCGTTTATATTCTCTTGACGTTCAAAAAAATGAAAAGGTTCGACTAATTTTATATCTTATTTTTTCAAGAGTTTCAAGAATTTCAAGAGTTTCAAGTGTAATTTATATATATATAAATATATTTATTTTTTTTTAGGAAACTATTATAAAACTTTTATATAATATTGGTTCGAAGAAAGAAGCGGAACAATATCTTCGTCAATTTTCATCGGTTGAATCTCAAAAATTTGCCGTAATAAAAGTTGGTGGTGCTGTTATTAGTGATGAATTAGATTCACTAGCCTCTTCACTTTCATTTCTAAACCGTGTTGGCTTATATCCAATTGTATTACACGGAGGTGGCCCTCAACTTAATATAGAATTAGATAAAGCTGGCATACAACCTCAGTATAAAAATGGTATTCGAATAACCGATGCAAAAACTCTTGAAATCGCAAGATCTATATTTGTACAAGAAAATCTTAAATTGGTTGAAGCATTAGAAAAATTAGGAACTCGCGCACGACCTATAACGGGTGGTGTATTCATCGCTGATTATTTGGACCGAGAAAGTTACGGGTTTGTTGGACAAATTACTGGAATAAATAAAAATGTCGTAAATGCTAGTATCAACGCAGGTGCTTTACCTATCTTGACGAGCTTGGCGGAGACGCCTTCTGGTCAAATATTGAATGTAAATGCTGATGTAGCTGCTGGTGAATTGGCAAAAGTTCTCGAACCTTTAAAAATTATTTATCTTAATGAAAAAGGTGGTCTCATAAATGAAGAGACTAAGAAAAAAATCGATGTCATAAATCTTGATGAGGTATTAACATATTTTTAAATCTTTTTATTATTATGAATATATATATATATTTTCTCATGATTTTATATAATATTCTTTTAGGAATATGACTATTATATGGCACAAGAATGGGTCAAATATGGAACGCGTTTGAAATTGATAGAGATCAAAGATCTTCTTGATCATCTTCCTCGATCGTCATCTGTAGCTATTACAGCTGTAGGACAGCTCCCGAAAGAGCTGTTCACGGATAGTGGTGCTGGTACCTTAATTCGCCGTGGGCACCGTCTCTTTAAGTTCAATTCATTTGACGAAATGGATAAAAATAAATTACAAAAAATCTTGAGCCCAAATTCTGATCTTATGTCAAAACTCTCCAAAAAATCTTATAAAGTCTACAGTGACGAACCTTATGATGTTTTGGCGATTGTTACCAAAGAAAAAACTAATCCGAATTCTATTCCTCTTCTTGAGAAATTCATTGCTACAAAAAATAGCGTATTAAGTAATATAATTGACAATATATGGAAAATCATCCAAAATGATAATCCTCGGTTACTTTGGGCTGTGGATGATCGTGATGAAAATAAGGCTTGGCACTTTTCTAGATCAGATGGTAGCTATACAATAAATGGAAAAACTTTGTTTTGGTATGGTATAAATGTTGAAGATGTTTCCGCCGCGGTTAAAGATTTTGCTTCTACGCTATTCGACACGAATACTACTCCACCATCCTCGGGTCGTGCATTCGCTAATGTCACCAGAAGTTTCTCCACTTTCGCTCGATATAATCAACATAATAATAATGCATTTTCGATGTCAACTATATTACGTCGTCAATATGCTACCTCTACATCATCGGCAAAAGTTGCTCTTATTGGTGCACGTGGTTACACTGGCCAAAACTTTGTATCATTGTTAAACAATCATCCACATGTTTCATTATCTCACGTGTCTTCTCGTGAATTGGAAGGTCAGGAGCTCTCTGGTTATTCTAAAGAAAAAATCAAATATGTAAACTTGAAAGCTGAACAAATGAAAGATATGCAAAAAAATGGTGAAGTTGATTGTTGGGTCATGGCTTTGCCAAATGGTGTATGTGCGCCATTTGTACAGGCTGTTAATGAAGCCAAAGTCGAACAAAGTTTAATTGTAGATTTAAGCGCTGATCATAGATTCAACGATGAATGGACATACGGTCTGCCCGGTAAGAAATCGAAAATTTTTTTCATTGTTTCTAAATCATTTATTGATTTATTAATTTATTAATTCTAAACCTTAATAATTTCTATAGAACTTGGTAATCGTGAAACCTTTCGTAAATCTACAAAAATATCAAATCCTGGATGTTATGCCACTGGATCTCAACTTTCCATAGCACCGTTGTTACCATACATATCCGAGACTCCTACCATTTTTGGTGTATCTGGATATTCTGGTGCTGGAACCAAACCATCCCCTAAAAATGATCCTAAATTTCTCGAGAATAATATGATACCATATTCTCTCACAGATCATATTCATGAACGAGAAATTTCATATCATTTAGGAAGAACCGTAAATTTCATCCCACATGTCGCACCTTTCTTCCAAGGAATAACTTTGACTGTTAATATTCCCCTCTCAAAAACTTTCAAATCTGCGGAAATACGAGAGTTATACGAACAAAAATATGCAGAAGAAAAACTCATCAAAGTTGCAGACGATGTACCGCTTGTAAAAGATATTTCTAAAAAACATGTTGTGAAAATTGGTGGATTCGGTGTACATTCATCAGGTAAAAGAGTTGTAATCATAACAACTATTGATAATTTATTGAAGGGTGCTGCTACTCAAGCTTTACAGGTTTGTTGAACTGTAATTATCTTACATTTTTTATTGTTCTCACGTTTCTTGAAAAATTAACTTGACTTTTACAATTCAGAATATTAACCTTGCCCTTGGATATGATGAATACGAAGGCATTCCTCTGGAATAAAAACAATTCGTAATACTTGTATTTATATCACTAAATGAAAAAAACACATGCTATTATGAATTTGATAAAAAAAAAAAAAAAAAAAAATTGTATTCATAAATAGACAATATAATAATAACTAATTATGAAAATAATTTAATCCAAACATGTATAAGAGTGGAATGTATAAAATCGAATATTAAAATACAGACATAAAAAAAAACATGGTATATAATAAATATTCATAGTCCATATTGTAATTCTCTATTCTCCAAAAAGACGTTGCACTCGTTTTAAAACACTATCTTTCTCCGGGTCTGGTAGTTCAATTCAAATTAGTTGTAACACCAAATAAAAATAATAAATCACTTTTGTATGACACAAAATAAATACCATAGGGGTGATCTTTAGATGGAATTTCAAGAATTGTCGGAAAAGCCTGGTCATAATCATCTACCAATTGACGAATATATTCTGCAATCTATTGATGCAATCAAAGATTGTGTCATTATTTTAAAATTATCTAAAAACGATGAATTGATAAAATGAAACGAACATGTTGATTTATTAGAATTATAGCAATGTCTTTTCTTTTAGTAAATTCGAGAAAGGTTTCCTCTATCTTTGATAGAGGAGTTTCTATAAATAAAAAATTAAATGTTATTTGGTAATATTTGTGAAACATTAAAGCATTAAATCATATCTTTACTAGAGTCAACAACGAGAAAGTTTTTATTAGCGCCATCTACATGACCAACACCAGCTAATAAAAGTCCAGTGACTGAGTCCTATGACATAAAATAGGTTTAAATAGGACCTTAAAATATTAAAAATCGATGTGAATTAAATTATTACCTCGTCTCCTATGACGGCTATAAAGTTTCGATCTTTATGAGTTGAAATGGTAGTCATATCAAGAGTTTAAATAAAATCCACAATTTTAAGAAGAATCGATCTGTTGTCGTTATATATATATATATATATATATATTTGATAATAAATAAAACACATGATTACACAAAAGCTGAGTCAGGTTCCTCGCGTGGTTAATTAATCTTAGCGTTAGGCTTAGGTCGGTTTAGGGTAAAGATATGGGTAAAATTGGCTTTAATTTCATGTTATTTCATGCTACAAGATAGGTTTAAACATCCCCCATTTGATTGGTCGATCGACTATTGCACCTGGCTTTAACAGGTCCCTTTCTTATTGTGGTTTGTGCGAGGAATAGCTAAGCACGTGATTGTTATCGGTAACATCTCTATAAATATCAAAGACTTAATATTCTATTTCTTCACACTTTCTTAACAAACGGCATGCACGACATACAAACCCCAGATATAGCGTCTGTCGAAAGAACTTTTCAAGGACTTGAACTTAAAGCAGAACAGCGCGATAATGGTATATTCGCTGCTATAGTCAAGGCCTTGCTATCAAACAGTAATCAATGGATGAGAGCTCCAGACATTGTCGGTAAGCTTGATCATGTGGCAACCAAATTGGTTTAGAAATGTCGCGTGGTGCCACTTGCAAAAACTTAATAAAATATAATAGATCGCATTCGAGGATGGAAACTTACTACCAACGACGGTCAACTTAGGTACGTTAAGCCTCGTCGAATTCATGGCACGAAATAATATCATTTTTTTACTCGACCCGAGAATCGCTAATTTCTGCTGAAAAACAGTGGGAAAACTCCTACTTCCACAATTCAAGGCACTATTTCTACAGCGTTGAAACTTGCGAAATCAAGAGGTTGTGAGGAACCAATCGAAAAACATCAAATCAAGAATTTAACTTACTACCGTCTTTCCTTGCATTTATTTACGGATTCACGAATTCGAGACTCGATGAACACTATACCTCCAACCCCTCCTCCTGATCCTCCTCGTTTAGCAAAAGATAAGAAACGATCTCCTACGAAACCGTCTCGTTCCACAGCGTCGAGTCGGAGTACGACGAAAAGAATCACCATTGATTCTGACGTTAATGTTATAACAACAAAGAAAATAAAAATTAGCCACAATACGTCTCCTACTATAAATTTGACAGATAATGAACATGATTCCCAATTTTTAATAGAACCAAGTTTAAAAAAAAAGAGTACAAAATACCAACCTTCTGAAGACTACGGTACTCCGGAAAGCGTAATAGAAGAAGAACCAACAATGATTAATGAAATTAATGAGTATGATTTGAATTTGTCTTCTTTTGTTCATACGAATTTTAAATATAATGCTTTTAAATAATTACAGGATCGATGTTCCCAGTTCTTCATCGTCATCATCGTCATCGTCGTCGTCGTCATCGTCGTCATCACTCATGATAACAAAAGGACCTATAGATTTCGATATAAATACAGTTAATGGACCAAAATCGTTTGCAATTATTCAAGAAACAGGTTATTCTTACTCTCGACTTAGTCGACTTAGACGCAGTGAAAATAGATATCCAAAGTCAAAATGCGAAGATGCATTTTGCGTAAAAGATCTAAGACGATCTGATGGCTCCTTTATGGCACGATTATTTTGCTTGGCGGATGGACATGGAGGTTCTGGATGTTCGGAATTTTTAATTTCAAGAGTGCCAAATCGTATCCAAGAACTGTTACAAGATCATCCGGCGAATTTTGATAACAAAGACGAACAACAATGGTTTAGAGAACAAATGGTACATCTCGTCAGGCAACTGGACGACGAATACGTTGAAGCTAAACGTGTAGAATTTCGTCGTTGGAAATATCAGAGAGAAAAACAAGGCAATTCTAATTCAATACCATTTGTAGATGAAAATTTTATTATAAATGATCAAAGTGATTCTGATTCAATGCCACCAGTAGACGACGGATCAACTATCATTATTAATGTGTTTATTAATGATTGGTTAATCAATGTTAATGTTGGTGATTCACGAACCTTTCTTGCTTGTCGAGGCAAAAACAATAAATGGTCTGTAGAATTTGCGAGTGAAGATCATAAACCTTATCTTGAACGCCTTGCCTTGAAAATATATTCGAATGGCGGCATATTTGTTGATAGTAATGATGATCCAATTAAGTTTGATCCTACTCCTAGACAACGTCGCACTAGACCAAGTTTAAAGAACGCGCGTATTAGACTCCAAGGGCAAGAAAGTGAAAATGAAGATGGTGTTCCCTACATAAATGAAACTGGAAAATATTGGTCGATTAATGTTGCTGCGACCTGTGGTGATTTACTTTTCAAATTAAATCGCTCTAGAAGAGTTATTGATTGTGTTCCAGATGTTACTTTTAGAAAGTTGGGTAAATATGGTGGTGATAGATTCTTATTGATAAGCAGTGATGGGCTTTTTGACCATTTAAAAGAGTCAAGAATAGATGAACAGAACAATGAAGTCGCTAAATTTATTGGTGGCTTATTGGACAATGGAGAATCTGTCATGAACGTTGTTAAAAAAATAGGTAGTCGGGAGAAATATACCACGTTATTTAAAGATTTTAGTCAAGTATATGACGATATTACTTGCATTTTAATTTCTTTGTAATTATTTTAACATGCAATTTGTAATTATGTGTGTCATCTAATTGGAATTAAGAATCGAGTGTTGTCAGTTATGAATTCACAATTAGTAATTAGAAATTTTGTCATCCAATTTAAATTCGAGATATCGAATAATTGTAAATTTTATCGCGAGAAAATTCAAAAAAAAAACAATTTTCTAATAAATGTCAAAAAAAAAAAAAAAAAAAAATACAAAAACTGCCAAGTGATTTTATATAAACTTTACGTCTTAAAGATTCCGATTATACGAGAACTATTTCTTGATCGAATTTATTTCATTACCGCTACAGAAAAGATTATTCATATACATTGTATATGTGCCTTTTATTTCAATAAATTAACACATTATTGATAAAAAAAGCGATCTTCACACCATTGCAAATGATATTTTATTTATAACGCGATGTAATATACATATGACTTGAGGGTGTGGAAATACCTGCTCTCTTAAAATATTGATAACGCTAAATGATAAATCTTATTATGACGTTAAATCTTATTATGAATTGAAAGAGCATTTCGCTAATCGACTTCTATGAATCCATGTTGATAAAGCTTTTCAATAAATTCGATCCTTGAGTCACTACAAATATAAAGACGTGAGCACAAATTATCTGTCTTGCATAAGTAATAATCAGAATGTTATAAAAATTTGGCATGTCAATTCTTGTATATACAGTATATAATTATATGTCAATAAGGACGTGAATACATTTAATATATCCTGAGCATATTAGACTACTCTAAGAACTGCGCTGCCGGAGGTTTATTACAGATATTCCTAAATATAGGGAGGTCTGGCTCGGTCAAAAAATAAATATTCATTTTAGTATTTGAATATTCAAATATTTACTGAATATTTATTGAATTTTATATAATAATTATAAAACAAATAAAATAATTTTATAAAAATTGATAGCTAAAATTTTTTTTTTGATTAATGGTGTAATAGCTAATTTTAAATACAGTAAGACCTCTCTAAGTGCACTCTCTCGGGACCATAGTCAAAAAAAAGCAAAACATGCACTTAAAGAGAGAGTGTATTTATAGAGAGAAAAATATTTAATGTCTTATAAGTTGGGGCAAAGTTATGGCGTGCATTTTGAGAGAATTTACATAGTGCGTGCACTTATAGAGCATGCACTTAGAGAGGTCTTACTGTATATAAGCCAACAAATAATTTTTATATTTATAAGTTTTATTAAATAAATAAATATAAATAAACTAATTTGTTTTTAGCTAATAAAATTTTTATTTTATTTATTTAACTAACTTATTCTTTTGGTTAAATTTTGTTTTGGTATTAAGGTAACCTTTTGGTTATGTGTGCTTTTATTAAGTATATAAGTCTATATCAGAATAGTATTCTAAAACCCCAGTACTAGTTAGACTACTCTATTAGAAAAAATATATAAATATTTGAATTAGACTATATAAATTAAAAGTTTGAAAAGATAATTAATAGTTTTTCTTAATATTAAAATAACCTCTTGATTACATTTCTTTTATTTAATTTTAGTTTAACTTTTACAGTATAGTATACATATACTATATATATATTTGGAGAGTATAACTAGTCATATGTACAACTTTGGTTGCCTATTTAAGTAGTCTGCTTATTATTAAATTTTACACTAAATATTATATCTATAATTAGGATTCATCAGAAAAATTTAAAATTAGATTATTATCAATTAGAATCTAAAGATTTTAAATGATTCTCATCATCACTGTTGATTATAATCAATATATATAAAAAGTCATTGATTATAATCAACTTATATATATAGATTTATATTAATTATTATTATTATCGATTTAGATATAATCAACAGCACCACTATTGATTATAATCATTTGAAACTAATCAATTATAAACAATTAATTGTTTGCACCTGATTATAACTAGGCTTCAAAATTTCCTGATGTTCTTCAAAATTAAATTAAATCAAATATTAGATTTA